AGACAAGTATGGACATGCCCCCTGGATATTCTCAGCCCCCAAAGATTCCTGCCTGACTTGCTCTGGACCACTTGGCATGCGATAGCAGCCGCGCACATTTGGCAGAGACATTTTTAGAAACTTCCAAGCTATGAATTCACCCTTCCATTTTGGTAAAGCCAGTTATGTGGAAAGCATTTCAAAAGCAGAACTTCAAATACACACTGCATTTCCCCTCAATTCTTAGGGGGTGGAAAATTACACTCTTATTTTCCCACAGAGAGTTATTCTGCAATATTTCTGTATTTACTGATGCCATCACCAATAACCAAATAATTACAAGTCGAATCAAATCAGTCTTTTCCACACAGTTACACTGTGTGTTAAAACTCCTTTTCAGCACAGTTACACTGTATGTTAAAACTTCTTCCAATTCTTTCCCTCAGATCCATGTTTTATTGCAATCACGAAAGGTGACTACTTGAAAACATACGCCTAAGTAAATGCTTGGGAAGTGGCCTTCATGCTGCAAACTTCAGGGACGTACTGGGGAGATGCCCACAATCACAGCTATGGCAACATGGATACCTGGCAGGCAGCTGCTCCTGCCCACAGGCTTTCCACCACGGCCACGTAGGAACAGAGACCAGGATCACATCTGTATCTACAGCCCGCTAACCACATGCTGGCAACACAGCTAAATACTCAAAGGTGTTGTCCGTCTCCTGGCGCGCTGAGGGTCAACTTCCAGCTGCCTTCCCCCTTTCCACAGTTGTCCAGAAAAAGCAAACTGGTCTCAGTGGGCTGGACTCCACAGACAGGACCTGACACAGGCTCTCCCAAACTAGCAAGCTCTTTAATAAATACCATCTAAATCTGCTGAGGCATCAGAGCTGCCCCATCCTCATCCCTAAACTGCTCCAGCTGCGTAGCAAAACACCAACAGCCCTTTAAATGGCCCAGCCCCCTTTGCCGGGAGGACACAGGTAGTTAAGCACCACTCAGCTGATGAGGAGTTCATTAACCCGCAGCTGTTTGATTGCTACCAGCTGCCCGTAACAGCCCCTCAAGTCCAGGGCAGGGACATTTCAATCCCTTTTTAAGCTCATAGAAGTTCCTTGCTCCTTGTTTTAAAGGACTGTTATTCTTCGAAGGAAAAACATTTTCACTGCAACTGTTTTGTGACAATGAGTCTCACTATCAGCTCGAAGCGACCACGTCTGATACCTGCTGCCCAGGGGAGAGGAACGGTCCAGGTAGCAACAGGATCACTCCTGTTGGCTTTCACTTGTACATGAACCCTCCAACACAGCCCCGAATGTGTCTCCAGAGCTCTCTTTCTCTCTTACTCTAAAGGTCCCCAAATACTTTCTGCAGTCCTGGAGCTCCTGGTCTCAGAAGGGCTCCAACCCTTGACCTGAGCCCAAAAGCACAGAGGGAGCAGAGGCCACCCTCTTTTCACTATCCCTGATGAGTCTGCCACTTGTCAGGGCAAACTTGGAGGGTGAAGCACCTAAGAAAACGCTACTTCCTTCCAAATAATGCCAGTTTTTACCCTTCAAAACACAACCTCGGGCATGCAGCAGATGCAAGACCCTGAGACACACCATCCTGTGCAATTCAAACCCCATCTTCACATTCAGAGGTGACCACAGAGACAAATGGGCTGCCCAAAAGGCAGAAGATGCAAATATAAATCCCCCTGTAGACACAGAACGACTGCACAGGCCCAAATTTCTACACTCCCTGGACAAACATTGAGACTATCGGACAGCAAAAAGCCAGACACAACCACCTCCTCTTCCCATAGTACTGTTCCCACTCAGTTATTCAAAAAATCAGATATAGAGACCTACCTTCAAGCCAGGAATGAAGTCTGTAGGTGAGGAGCAAGCCAGACACCATGCTGCAGCCCGGGGGGACGATGTTTGAGCACACTCACTCAGCCATCCACAGCTGTGGGCCATATGGGCTGATTGAGGCATCCCACCACGCCCAGGAGAGCTCCAAGGCACCTACCACCAGCTCTGGCTCTGCTCCAGCACCCAACCACCAAGCCAGGATGCCTACTGAGGCACTACTTGGGGTGGCTGGCCCCACACGTTAAGAGATGGTGCTTCACCAAATCCCCTTTCTTACCCCATAGAGGAAATAACATTTATCTCGCTGTCTCTGATGATTATTTCTTCTCAGGTGTGTGGCCCGTCAGGACCCTGGATGCTTTCTGACTGCCTATGGAAGGAAACGGTTCAAGTACCAAATGCTGTAGATCGACCTGTTGTGTCCCAGGGAGGGTTTCTATTCTTCCCGTCTCCCAGAAAGTCCTGTTGTCCCTGGTAATTTTTTCACTTATTGCCCTTGTCTCTAAGGACTGCAAATTGACAGTCAGTTTATGCAGAGCAGGTACGTTTACAAAAGGACTAGATTATTGTTTTTAATGAAATCCTGATGCAACAGGAAGCCTTCATAAGGAAGGTCCTTAAAAGTTATTTTTTGCCCTCGGAGTGTTCCAGCAGCTCAAAGTCTGAAATCTAAAATTTCCGTAACAAGATGAGAACAGAACAGAGTAAGACATTCCACAACAGACCTTTTATTTTCCCCCAAATTGCTCCATTACAATCCCCATCCAAAAAGATCACCCCTTTAAAACAAACTCTACTGAAATTCTCAGCACCGTGAGAAAGCTGCTGCTGCCTTTTTTTTTTTTTTTAAGATCGATCTACGTTTTGATGGGAACACATTGCGAAGATAAACCCAGCGAAGCTTCCTACAGACGGTCACGCTGCATCATTGCATACAGCAGAGCCCTCTGCTCTGCTCTGCCGCCCAGCATCTCCCAGATTAGCAACAACCTATTTTTATATTGCACCCATGTGAGGAACTACTGAGGCAGGTAGCCTGTGGGCACCTTGTTTCAGAAAGACGAGGCTGTTTTCAACCGGGCTGAACAAAACAAATCTGTGCTGCTACAGTCAGTAGCCCATTAAAAGAGAATTTTAGCAACTGCTCTGAAGTTGCATAAAACGGCACTGCACTGCTGAGCTGGAAGATAGGAACTGCTGCACAGCAATTCATTTGAAATGTACTTATAATCTAAATAATCTTCATGCCTTAATCGTTGTTTGCATTTAAAGCTGTATTTTCCAAGACTGGGGGACAGGTGGACACACTTTTATCACCCTTCGAATGCTTGTACGTATCTGCGCAGAGGGGCACGGGGATGAGCGGGCTCCAGAGAGGGCAGGAGCCTGACACTGGAGATGGTACGTGTGAAACGTGACAGCCACCGTCACCAAGGTGGGCAAAACTTACTCCATTGTGGCCCCAATTTGCAGATTACACAATTCTCTCCTTGGTTAGCAGTCTGCTCATCAGAAGACTTCTTCCAAAGCAAGGCTTTTACTATCATTAAAAAGCACACGTGTGTTGACTTTGTGCAACATACCTTTTTTAAGCCGAGTAATTTCTCTCTTATTCAACACCAGAACATGCACAGTGTCAACTTATTTCAATCGTTGTGTAATTCTGTGTCTCAGGAAAGGCTATTAGGAAGGCTGCACTGCAACAGAATGAATAAACAATACAGAAAAAGCCACATCCATTCTGTCTAGTCTGCGCACTAGAGGACTTCCAGAGCAAGACAACACCCCCGACACCCATGCAGTAGTGCCCTCTGCGGGATGTACCGATCCCAGAGCAGAGGTTTCCAAATCCCTTTTTACTACTACCCCAGGAAGAAAGGCTCAGGTATCAACTCTTCAGGCAGAGCCCAAGGTTTTGAACTCAATTACAAATTCCAACTTTTCTTGTTTATGCACATAGCCACGCAGTCACCACTTCAACTGTCCCGTCCTCCGGTTTGGATTACTACAACCTACTTCCACTTCTGTATTTAACCAAGCTTGTAGCAGCTGCCAGCAAAAGGGTTCGTGGTGACTACTAATAAGATCTAGTAAATGAATATTACAATGACAAGATAATCGACTGGTCACCTCTAAACATACTATTAAGAACTAACCACAAAGGTAACATAGCCTAAAATTTCACATGAACTTATATACTGCAACTTCCTTGATGTTGTATTTCTTAGAATATATATAGCACTGCTTTTAAAATAAGTTTACTTCTAACTACTAAATTAAGGTAGTATTTAACCATTCTGTGAGAATTTCCTAAACAGAATGTCAACTTCAGCAGTCAGCTCTGAAGAAGCAATGAAAATTTCCAGAGGGGAAGGCAGCATCACTTTTAAGAACATTGCAGTGCAGTTTTTGGTACTTCAGGGTATTACATGGAGTGTGGCAGGCTGGTATTTGTATTATTAATGCAAATCAACTCCCATTACTAAAGCACAGGAGATAGGGAAGGTAATCATCATAAAAGCTTTTACTAACTGAGAAAAGATCAACCGTATGAGCAAAAAAACCAAACCAACTTTCAAACATACAACTTGGCAGTATTTTGCAAATATAAGGTATTAAGTAGAATTTTATAAAGGAGAAAAAAGGCTTTTGATTTTAACAGATTGGAAACGGAATTTTCAAACACATTGTGTGAATTAATAGTAACAAATGGGGCTCCCATTTTTGCTTTGTTCAGAGCCCCGTCAAGGCCAGAGAAACAGAGCCAGACTGCACCTGTGCTACACTCCCAGAAAAAACAATCCATAGGCAACCACTGCTGTTAAGGATTTTTACACTGGAAGTTATTCAGGCTCCTTCAATCCATTAATCTTTGTTTTTAAACAAAACTCAGTTTACGTGGATACAATAAATAGTTTATTAACGGAATGTATGTGAATTTCTCTCTTCCATCCTTCCTCTTACTCTCAGCACCTTCCACACAGATGTCAAAGCAGCGGCCAGTCCAAGCCGAGGAAAAAAGTGAATTTCAAGGCAAATTGAAGAGAGGTTAGAAGTTAAGACTGGCACCTTTGAGTGCCTAGTTCCTCAAGTGTTTGTCTGGTTCCCCAAATCTACAGGCAAATTGGTGTTGCTTCTTTCCACACACCTGCTTCTTCCCAATTCGTGCTCATTTAAGCTCTTCTTAGGCAGGCGCACGCTCCATGGTGACAGTATAAACGTCATGCCTGCTCTAACACCCTTTCAGCTATTGCAATATCCCTTTATTATTTTATTTAAAAGCCCTACCGTTATTATGCCATCTCTTTCTGATTTTTTGTAATAGTTCAGTTTAGTTTTGGAATTTTACAAAAATGGAAAGAGTCTTTTTTTCAAAATATAGAGCACCGTGGCCAGGAACAAGGCAAGGGCGAGGAAGATTAGCAGCTTGTCCGTCAGTTCCCTCCGATTGTACTTTGTTATTAGCTTTCGCCCCAGCTGAATTGTCCCAGACATGGACTTAAATTCTTCGTTTGCTTCCAGGATTGTTCGTGAAGAATTAGCTGAAATTTAAGGGGAAAAATGAAAGCAGTTAGTTGTGCTTCAAAAATACATGACAAAAGACATAAGCACGCAATATTGGGCAATACTGATAGCGCCTGTGAGATTGTTCTGGGTCAGACTGACTTATGGCTATGACAAACGCAGACTGTGCTCTTGCAGAAGGTTTCACAACTCAGTAGTCCTGATGTGCGAAGGAAAACTGCAAAGCAAACTAAGAGTACTGGATGGCTTAAAGGCCCTATGTCCTGTTCCTGAATATTTAATTTTTAGGTTACCAGATCAAATCTGGTTCACATCTTTTATTAATAAAATCAGAGCTATCTGAGAGCTCGCTGGAAGCAGAGTGAAGTAAGAATAGTGCTAGAACCACCAGTTTAAGACAGAGAAATCTCCATCACTATCAGCATCAGTTCTAGCAGCAGCAGGACAGGTCAATATTTGAATACCTTAATTGCACAACTGAAACTGGTCCCCCAAGCCAGGGCAGTAAATCCCTGTGGTTCAGTATGGGGTTGCAGAAAGTGAAAAAGCAAAATGCAGCAGTAAGAGATCCTTGATTGATCCACCTCAAACCATTTAAACAGTTTTTAATAGTTACTTTTGACAAACATAATTCTTTTTTTCTAACAAAAAAGAGAAAATCAATTAGAGGAAAAGCGTGTTGATTGGTCTCAGCTAAAGACAGAATTTGAGAATATGCCAACACAGCAAGATGGAACATGGGTTCCTTTCAAATTCTCTTTCACTGTGAGAAAACAAACAAGCAAGCAAGCAAACACCCCAAACTTCTCAGCCTTCCTCCTTTCAAATTACTAAATGAAAGCAGGAGTCCCCTTTTTCTTATATTCAGAATGCATAACCTGTACAACAGTGAATGCTGGTATATATTTATCCTGAACTGAATGATTAAAGAAAGGTCAAACTCCGAGCATGCCTGGTTCACAAAACCAAGCATACTAGAAATATGTCTGTAATATTCTGCAAATCATTACATCCCATCTTAGAGGCATTTTGATCAAAGTGATCTGCCCCACAGCATGATCCACCCAAGCTTCCCTGCTTCACAGCCCCATGTATTCACTGCATACTAGAAAAAGACTCGCTCAGGAAAAAGGGAATTCTAACTACTTATTCAGAATTTGCAGCTGGGTTTTGTAAATGACCTCTGGTAGCTTTTCCCTTGATGAACTCCAAGCGCTGTTCATTTAGAAACAGGGTGAAAAAGTGTCTGCCAAACTGTCTGTTTAATGGGAGAAGAAACATGCTTCTCCTGCATGAACAAACTGTGCCCAGCTGCCATCCTCAGATAGGGGCAGAAAACAAGGAGGGCAAAAGTTGCATTATTTATCCTCATCTTTAAACTGTTCTCTCTTCTGCCCAAAAGCACAGCCAGTAAGAGGCCCAGGCAACACAGAGCCAACTTCTAAATGCTTCATACATCATCAGTTCTGACAGGTCACTTGATTTATTGTCTTAGGAGTCTAAGCCAAAGAACTGGGTGAAATCTTGGTTTCACAGTCCCTGATGCACTGCTGACAGAGCGAGTGACCTTGGGTTCAAGTCACTTGATCCCCTCGTCTCTTAGTCATCCCAGCTGGAGACTGGGTGAAAACAGTCTTCCAGCCATACTGAGTTTCCTCTGTGTATGGACTTGTACCTACACTTTTTTCTCTGCTATTACCAAGCGCATGCCAGGACAGTAGCAGAGAGTAACACCAAACATGCTCTTAGCACTGTGAGAACTCACATTGCTTTTACAATTCCGTTTATGTGAAACTAACCCAAAAGCTCCTCATCCTACCCCCTTCTCCTTTTCACACTCATGAAACAGAAACTCCAACAAACAGCTCCACGCAACGTACATTATTATTCTCTGTTTATGCCCAACTGTTAGAGGAGTTCTTCTGGACAGTCCTTTAATTATCATCATAGTATATTCTCCTACAGCCAAGCAGGTTTCCACTATGCTCCACACCATGTCAGTTTGCCTCTTCCCGTCCTAACAGAAGTGGAGAAAGGTGCTTCAATCATCCAATCCACACCCAAACACCCAAATAACACCTGTACCTAGGGTCTGCACGGTCTCCTCACTCTGCTGGACTTGCTGGGACATCATCCTGCTAATGCCCATCAGACTCTCCGTGATGTTACTTGCACTCTCTGCCAGACTTTCCTTTGTAGTCTTCCTGAAAAAGGAAGGGAAAAAGTAAAGCAGGAAGGGATAAAATTACGCCTTTGGGTACTGTGTGGAAAATGCTGCTGCCAGGGAGCTTAGAAGAGAGCTTGGCACCAAACATTTCTGCCAATATACGAAAGACACAACTAGTTTTTACTGCATGAGAAATTCAGATTATCTTCACATAACAGTCAAAAAAAAAAAAAAACAAAAAATATTTCCAAACATTTCTGCCAATATACGAAAGACACAACTAGTTTTTACTGCATGAGAAATTCAGATTATCTTCACATAACAGTCAAAAAAAAAAAAAAATCACAACATATTTAAGTCTTGAGCCAAAACAACTGCTAGTGGCTCAGAATCTCATGGGGGCCCGTATTTCACCCCTTATTCATCCATGACTGTATAATTTCATGAGCTGGTATGGAAGCTGATACAAACTACCACTTTATTATCCTGGGTATCCCATTTGTTGCTTCATTATACTAAACATGCCAACTTTTCAATACAGAAATTATATAAGCTTACATCCAGTTTTGCATGTGAAAACAGCCTGCATAATGATCCGTTAATTGTTTATAACCCTGACTAGAATTTATGCAAAAGAGGGTCAGAAAAACCATGAAGGCTAACTTATCCCCTTAGACGTGCCAACGCCAAGAAAACATGAAATTATCACAATCCTTCACAGTTTAAACCTCCACAAAAGGTAAATGCGCTCATAAAAGAAAAGCTATGTCCCTGTACAGCAGGACAGTCTAATACCTTTGTCTTAAGGAGTCTCTTCCCTGCAGCAGTTGATCTTTCTCAGAGTTGTCGATAGCAATTTTGCAAGCCAGATTTGCCTTTCTCCAAGCTGCCTGATTGCTGAAATCAGAGGAGTGTGATGCTGTTACACAATGGTAACACCTTACAACTGAAAACAATTTCCACAAAGCAATCACCACTGTAACTAAACACCCCAGATATGCGCACGGACTGTCACTATATTACACCACAATACACTGTCCTGTCATTTCTTCTCTTAAGTGTACTGTTTATGGAGCAAGGGAAGAAGAAAACTGCCAGCTGTCAAATGACAGACTCTCAAGCCACCTACTTACATGCTCAACTGCTCAAAGGGACACCCTGTGGTCTGGGAGTCAGGAGAAGAGAGAGGAAAGCAGAAGGGAATCATATCCTTTCCATCCCTCATCCTCTCTTGGTCTTGGGCAAAACAGCATCATGTCAGCACCCATGTTTGCAAAACAGGATCCGAAAGACGCTGTACAGAAGTCAGACTCTCTCTGGTTACAGGGGACCCATAAACAGCACCGGCTGCCCGACACACCTGAGCATTTGTTTCTTATGGTTTTCCACTTCCCGCAGTAAGGCTTGCTTCTCCGACTCTTTATCTTGCTCCTTCGCCATCTGTTCCAGCTCCTTTGGTGGAGAGCAGAAACGTGAAAGTCTGACCGAGGGCTGCTGCCACCCGCAACTCCCACAGCTCGCCCGGGCCGGGGAGGGAATTATCGAGCCCATAAACCAACACCACCCCACGGCCGGGACGACTGATCCCCCGACCCGCCACC